TCATCAGTTGGCTGTGTCTCGTTACCAGCTCGTTACGGTTGAGTGAATCAGCTGACTCCCTGTCTAGGCAAATTTCCGAAATAAAAACTGGGGCAAATCGTTATTTTACACATAATTGAGACATTTTCATAAGTGAAAACCCATATAAATGAAAAGAACGGCCAAATTTACATTGGAATATCTAAAGTTTGACATGATTTTTTATGGGGTTACCGAATGCAAGCCTTTGAAAGTCGGTACATTTTAGGAAATTCCATATCTTATAACACTAGCTCAAAATCCTGTAGCACCAGTTTTTTTTTGGGACCCAGTTCACGAGCCTCGTTTTCGAATACCGCGCTCCAAAATTGAGTGCCGTCACCGTCATTGTGGTCGCCCATCCCTCCATTTTAAATTAAAAATCAATCCCACCTTTAAGTTGATAACCATGATATGAGACTTGTGTAGTGATTGATCCAGGTATTGCTTGTTCATAACCATTAATGCTATGACGTTAAATTGTTTGCTATTTATCCATAATTCACATATGAAATGAAATTAATTCGTAATAAACACAGTCAAAGCCGTTTAATGGTCAATGTCTGGCCAGTGTAGTTTCACTGGGTTGTTTACTTATTGGCATTTATAAGGTGAAGTGTTTTGCCAATATACGTTCTTAAGCTTAACTTGCAGTGCAGTTTCATTGAATTGTTCACCGATTGATGTTTACTAAAGCTATTTTGCCAATACACTATGCAATTGACATGTCGACCAGGATGCGAAGCCCCGCCCACAAAGTCAGGAAAACCTTAGACAATGGCAGCCAGACTTACCGAGTTGGCGAACATTTTCTTTGCTATTAACCTTTTGAATTCAGGGTAGGTGGTATGCAAATGAATCATATATTCATAGTGTTAATCTATTTCATGGAACAGGTGGGGAAATTGTAAAAGCCTCTGTATTTTGCTCCCAAAGAAAGAGGGAAAAACCGCATTCAGTCAACCTCATTGTCGGCAAAGGCCAAGTTACTGATGCCCACTGCTCGTGTATATCTGGGCAAGCACAGACATCTAGGCAGTGGCGTAGAAAAATATTTTTCATTGGGGGGGGGGGGTGATTGGCATGTTAGCCAGTGTCGTAAAAGGCGCGGGGAGTCGTACCGGGCTGGGTAATAAGAGAAAAGAAAGAGGAGAGAGGGAGGGAAAGACAAAGAAGAGGAAAAGAAAAGGAAAGAAAATGAGAAGAGAAAAATAAAGACAAGAATAAAAAGGAAGATATCATAATGACCAGACTCACAACACCCTGCAACCCCTTCTCCACTTCAAAATCTGTCATAACTCCTTTGATTTATGCTGCCCGATGGCGTAACCACTGGAGGACAAGGGGAAAATATCTATCTTTTAAAAATCTTCCCCACCCCTTTATAAATGCCCTTTCATCCCCTGAAAGTGCCTAAAAAGTTTTGCGCGCATTTCTTGTTAACATGGCCCAAATTCCTCTAAAAATTACACTTATAGGGAGTTTTGATGAATTCCAACGAAACACCAGGGGACAAGGGGAAAATATCCATCTTTGGAAAATCTTTCCACACCCCTTGACAAATGCATCCTCTGAAAGTGCCTAAAATTCTCAAATTCTTTGCGCGCATTTCTTGTTACGGTAGGCCAATTTCCTCTATAAATTGCACATTTTAGGAAGTTTTCATCAATTTCGACGAAATTAGAATTAAAAACACAAAAATATTTTGCGCGCTTGGCGCACATTTTTTAGGGCTTTTTTAGTTTTATCCTTTTAAGTTATTTAAACACATAATAGTCCCAAACTCAAGAAAGACAAATTTAAGATAGATCATTTTAACCTAAAAGAAGGGCCTCAATGTGTATACTACATGGTGAAAGAATATGTTTGTTATAAATAAAACCATGATGAAAATGCTTATATTTAGTTTCAAAAACACGTGTGGCCTATATTATAAATAAGATAAGCCCTATGTCGTATTGTTTTCTATATGGGGAGTGGGGTGGGGTGGGGTGGGTATGGTAAATTACTAACTGGGAAATGAGGATTGTATGTTATTATTATTATTATTATTATTATTGGTAATGGTAATGGTAATGGTAATGGTGGTATATTTGTAGTGCGCCTTCCACAATAAAATCGTCTCAAGGCGCCGAAAAAAGGTAGGACCAAGAATTTAAAAGAAATTAAATTATATTATATCTTATATTAAAGAGCCTATATTAATCAGAATATTTTTTTTATTTTATTTATTATAAGTTAAATAAATATAAATAAATGAATAAAGTAAATAAATAACAAATAGAAAATATATAATTAAATAAATAAATAATTGATAAATTAAGCCTTCAAAAACAGGCAGACCTGTTTATTATTATTATTATTGTTGTTGTTATTGTTATTATTATTGTTATTGTTATTGTTATTATTGTTATTATTATTATTATTATTATTATTATTATTATTATTATTATTATTATTATGTTGTAATGATGTTGTTTGTACTGTTCTTTAATTTTATTAAAGAGGGCCCCTGAATATCAGTTAACCTACTGGGCTAAACTAGAAGGGTTACCCTCTTTAAAGATGGTTGAAATAAAAAATGTAAAAAATAAAAAAAATAAATACCCACTGTGACCCGAGACCCCTGTTACGCGCCTGGTGTTAGCCCCAATGTGTGCTCTTGTGCGGACAGGGGATGTACCCCCATCTGAAGCTGGAAACCTTGTTTTTGCAAAATAAATTGATGCAATTTTCTATTATAGGCCTAATCAATAAATTCCTCATCAACCGGTATAAGCTTAAACATTCTTGGAATTGACATTACATTACTGATGTCATACACACCCTTCAGTGTGAAATGTGGCTCTCTTTGCAAGCACATCTAACATCTAAGGAAAGAAGAGCTTAGATTGGTACCAGATAAAATAATTTTGTTATCAACATTAATACATTATGCTAATTTTCGTAGTCCTATCTATAATTGTATCTAAATACCGATTTTACCGTCAACTGTAATAATAATATGAACCCCCAAAAAAAAGAAAAGGGGGGGGGGGGGGGGGGGGTGATGCAATGGACCATCCCCCCCCTTGTCAAATATTGGGGGGACATATCCCCCATCTCCCCGGGATCTACGCCTATGCATCTAGGCCTAGGCTCACGTATGTTTTGCATTGACAACCAGCTGTCTAAGGAAATTAAAATGTCCGAGAAAAAGTTTTTGATCATGTGACTAAGTGACGCTCGCTGATTAGTCTGTTTATCTGTCAATCAAATCTCGTCGAGGTGTTAATTATATTATGCAATTGAATATTGATGGTCATGGTCATGCGATACATAATATTTCTGTATGTGTATTAATATAATTTGCAGGGCTGTTTCCGTTTGCTGTTTTTGAAGTTTTTGGTACCATTTTCCTTTGCAATTGCCATTCCTTGATAAAGTTTGAAAAGGACAGTAATCAAGTAGTCATTGTGCTTCATCATTTTGTCTATACCAATTTGGGGTTCAAGACTCATACTCTGAGTGCTGGGGGACGAATCGACCCAAATCAATCCTGGTGCAATCCCCGAACCATAACATTCAATACATTCTTGAGTCTTAAAATGTCGACCTTTTGTAATTTTTTATCGGGGGAGGAGGGGGGAAAGGGTTTATGGTGTATACACCTACTGCACCCTCCTAGTTACGGACCTGCAAGATACATATAAGAGAGCTGAAGCATAATAACAAAAATCCCCAAATAAAAAGCATTTGACAAACTTTGAGCTTTAGTTTATGTGAGGAAATGGAAGGCCATATTCACTAGTTCTTTATTTTTAAGTTTCTAATAATTGTTTGGTTTTATTATTGATCATAATTAATCATAGTAATAACATAGATTGTAATATATTATACATTTTATTTTTGTTTGGTTTTATTATTGATTATTATTTTTTTTTTTTACATAGCTTTTAAAGGAAAACAATTAAATTTAATAATGATATATTTTTATACTATTTATAAAAAACTATAAAAACATTTTTTTGACGTTTCTTTTTTCTTTACGAATGTGCTGTTTTTGGAGTTCGCTCTGCTTTTTGTCTCCTTTGTAATTTGTCTGTTGTGATGAGGACTCAGCTTTGCTGAGTGGGACATTTCCTCTTAAAATATTAATAAAAGAAAGAAAGAAAGAATAATAAATTATAAATATAAATAAGTTATACATTTTATTACAGGTAATCACTTTCAGGTTTAATTTCTTTAAAAAGTTAAATTATTATAGCTTATTGTAGGTTTGGCTTGTGAAAGAACTTCTACAATAGGGAAGGCAGGTGAAAATAACATACATTTAAACTTGCCAAACTCGATTAATTTCAGTGTCAATCTTATTTTACATGCCAAATTGTTGTGTTCTCCGTTAATTAACAATCTGCAAGTCAAACAATAATTCAATGCCATTTTTTATTTGACTTTGGCAAGTTCAAATGTATAAATTAAAGTAGGGTTTTGTCCTAAATCCCAAATATTATACATCCAGAAATGACCTTCACATAATTAACATATGATGTAAACGTTTTTAAACCCTTTGCTTACATACTGTGATATTTGCATTGACTATAATTACCAACTTTCAATCATCACCCAATATGATTATTACATGATACAAGATAACATTTGTCTGAAAGGAAATTATATTAAACTTGACATTACATCAAAGAAGAATGTGTAGGATACATTAACATAAAATAATGTGACACAATGTGAGTGAATTGTTTCAATTTACCTCTAAATATGCAACTTCATTGTCAACCTTTTCTTGGTATCTCTTGTACACTTTCCTTTTAGCAATCATTGCTTCCTCATGTTGCATCTTTCTTGCTATTATCTGAATATTTTAAAAGAAAGCATTACATGATTTATAATTTCACAACCCACAAACTTCCTACTGTACATTTTGACATGCATCACCTTAAACTTTTGAAGAAATTATCTGCTATGATAGAACATCATTGGCTACCTGCTCCTTTACTTTTAAGACTCTGAAAGATGAAGATCCAAAGTATCTTCATGAACTGCTGACGTGCTGACAAACTTCTGCTTGTTAAGCTCACAGTAGTTCTACATGTTTATTGGGTGCTGGTTCCATGGATTTGCCAGACCTCTCAATGCGCATCTGCTATCTGCTGCTTATGCAGTTTCTTAGTTTTCTATTTTTCTTGCTTGCAAACTTAATTTGTTTGAGTTATAAATATTCCAGCCCTTGTGCCTCAAATTACCTGTAAACGATGCAGTGATGGAAGCTTGGTCTACGGTAATTTTTGGTTCCTTTCTTCTGTAGCACCTTGAGCACTACTTCAGTGGATATGTGCGCTTATAAATATTTCATTATTAATTATCATTATTATTTTTATTATTATTACATTGGCCTGTGATTATATGAAAGTAGCACATACCTCATCATGCTTCATTAACTTTAATTTCTCCTCTGTCTTCTGTCCTTGTTGCTGGTTCTCTTGCATCTGTAGCTTACGGGCTAAAATCTGTCAGAATAAAATATATTTGGTAAAGGTGATACTATCTTTTCATTAATTTGACCAAACATTTACAATACACATAAGTAGTAGTATACATAATATTAAATACTGTAGTAATACAATTTATTTTCACTAGCAACTTACAATAATAAAATAATCATATTTAATGCATCATGGAGTACAGCAAGTGGCAATGCAAAAAATGGAACCATTAAAAAAAGACATCTCAAACCAGAACATATACTAATTTTAAACTAAACATCAATCCATCTTTATTCACATGAAAATAAAAGCCAAATATGAATAGTATTCATTCATATATATTTCATATATATGTGGATTTTAAAGCATTCTTTTTTCAAATGAATTAAAGTAGCATTGGTAAACAATATCAATTGAGTAACTCAGTTAGGGTAAGCTGCCCCTCTTTGGGAACCTTAATGTCACCAGGTAGCACAGACGCCACAAGCCTTCAATAGTGAATAGGGAGGCTGCCTTTATAACTGGTGAATACTCCCGAGCTGTTAACTCCACTAGTTCACAATGGGAGCCACTATTGGTATGCCCACTCGGGGTCATGCAGAACCTTGCTATAGGTTTCCCTTTGCCTAGCTTTTAAAGAAACAAAAATAAACACTAGTACAAACAACAAAATACATATAGAGTTACATTTAACATTTAAACCTATTACCTCATCTTTTGTGGCTTGAGCTATGTGATCTGTGTCTTCATCACTATCACAATCAGTAACACCAGCTCCATTAGGAAAACCTGTAACTGTTCTCCGTGAATCACCATTGGAAATCTCAGATGCTGGAATATAATTTTATTTTCAAATAACCTTTATATTTGGATTCATTTGGGCTCATTGCATGGTTTATAATGTTTATATTTTGCTTCACTTTGACCCATTGCCTGGTTTATAACCTTGTTTTTATTTTTATTCACTTTGGACTGATTGTCTGGTTTACAACCTTTTATATTTGGATTCATCTGGACCCATTGCCTGGTTTTTAACCTAATATTTCGATTCACTTGATATGTTGTATCGGGTTCCACACGTTTTTCGTCAAACACCCTTTTTGAGTCTTTGAAAAATCAGTTGTACAACATACCAAATTTCTTTTTCATTTGGAGCCTGGCTTTAAGTCAATCACCTTGTTATCTCAGAACCATATGCCTTTCTAGGCCTAGCCTTAAAGTCTAGGCTTCATTTATGGTCACCAATGCTGTAGAGCAAGATTAGTTGTTTGTTGTGGGCATTCAGAGCTTGGCCTAACCACAAAATATTAATATTCATAACAAAAAGCACAAAAAACCGAAAGGTCTACTGATTAATCTCAGATAAGAAAGTATAATACATACTCCAAGTATTGAAATACACGCCATCGTGTTGGGTTTCAATATTTCAACATTAATTATGTCATCATCAGGAAATCAGAAATTATGTCATCATTTCCTGATGGTGACATAATTGATGTAGAAGTATTGAATCCCAACACGATGGCATGTATTTCAATACTTGGAGTATGTATTATACTTTCTTAAAAAGCACCAAGAACAATGGAAATTATAATGGTAATGGTCTTTAATTTCTATAGCACATAATACAGTGCAATGTTTCTATGCCATGCATTCTTTACCCAGTGTCAAGAAAAAAGAAAGAAAACAACATAAAAAATGAATAAAGCAAAATTAGAATTGTGAAAAAAGATGAGATTTAAGTGTGGACTTAAAAAGGGCCCAAGATGAAGATGACCTTATGAAATTGGGTGTCATTCCACAACGTAGGTGCAGCAACAGAGAAGGATATATCACCATAGGTTTTTTAACGAACCAGAAGAACAATAAAGAATTGTAGAACTGGATGATGTAGATCTGAGTATGCGACTACTCGTCATGATGACAGACTTACCATCAGATGACTTGTATTGCTCATTATCTGCTACTTGTCTTGCCAATTTCTGAGATTCAGCTTCTCTTCGCTGGTGCATTTCTCGCATTTTCTTTATTTCTGCTGCTTGCATTCGTTTTGCTAATTCCTTTTTAAAAAAATGAAACACCAAAAAAAAACAAAAAAAAACAATAATTTACAAACATCCTTTTTGTGATTAAAAATTATGTTGTGATTAACTACAACCACAATACAAAACTAAAAACAAAATTCCTGAATTCCTTAAAATTTCCATACATGATGCATACCTCATCTGTTAAAACTTTCACTAAGGGTTCTTGCCTCTTCATTGGAACACCTTAAAAACAGAAATATAAGCATTTCAATTCAATTCAATACAATTTTATTTCCAATTCCATCATCAAAATACATTATACAGGTAGAACATGAATAATTCAAATATAACAATTATAATAAATAAAATGATTAAATTATAAGGAATTGGAAAAAGACAAAGCAAGTATAACTAATAATACTAATAATAATAATAATAATAATAATAATAATAATAATAATAATAAGAATACACTAATATTTATATGGATTTAGTTTCAATATTTAAGTCAATCAATCAATCAATAAGTGGTAACTAAATGTAGTTGGTAAATAATTTTTAAATAACTTTAATTAAAAAGTTTGAAGAGAGGTAAGGATGGTTGTGATGATTAAATCATAAGGAATTGAAAAAAGACAAAGCAAGTATAACTAATAATACTAATAATACTAATAATAATAATAATAATAATAATAATAATAATAATAATAATAATAATAATAATAATAAGAATACACTAAAATTTATATGGATTTATTTTCAAATATTAAAGTCAATCAATCAATGAGTGGTAACTAAATGTAGTTGGTAAATAATTTTTAAATAACTTTAATTAAAAAGTTTGAAGAGAGGTAAGGATGGTTGTTAATAATGTACAATAAATATAGCCTGTAATGCCTTTTCTGGAGAATATGAAATCGGTCTAATTTGGTAGGACTGGCAGAATTCCATGATGAAATTGAATATGTTAAATGTGGAAGGATTAGAGCATTGTAGATTTTTAAGTAAAATATTGTGGGGCAATGTATGTGCTTAATTTATTGAGAACACCAACTATCTTTGATACCCTGGTTAATAGAGAGTTTTAAATATGCATTATCAATACATTTATGTTTACTCTTAAAATAACATAATTTGTTTTACTTTCATTTATTGTAAGTATATTTGCACTAAACCATTTAGAAAGTAAAACAAGCTCATTGTTTAATTATAAACCCTCATGTAAATAATTGTACTTAAAAAATATATTTGTGTCGTCTGCAAACATGATCATCTCAATTTCTTAACAGGAATGCATGAGGTCACTCACATACAGCAAAAATAAATAAAGTTTGCTGTTTGGCATACAGAATCTGATAACTTAAAATTTCTAGATCTTAACTCCGTCTTAATTGAAGACAAAGGTTGGTTAGACGTCTTCTGACATGCCCTTTACACATTGCCTATAAAGGGGAAAAATATATAAATAAAATAAAGTAATAAAACCTTGTATAACACATTATAATGACAACTACAACTCACCTCCTACTGCACCAACTTCCTCTTGTTGAGAAAGTTGTCGGGCTAATCTTTCACTTTCTCTGTCCATTTTTTCCCTTTCAATCTCTTTCACTTCATCTTTTTGTAATCGTTTCGCAATCTCCTGAAAAAAAAAATGAAATAAGTTAATTTCATGAGGGGAAAAAATTTAAATAAATTGTAGTAATGTAGCCAGGAGATAGTGAAAATAGTATGCGGACAAGAGATGTTGTGGATTAAATATTTAATTGTTTTCACTCAAGTGGTATGCAAAAATGAGTTTAGACCATGGTGGATTCAACCTCAAATAGATTTCATGAAAGTAGTATGTGGCTGTGCAACTATCGCCCAGTCTAGAATTCTGCAAATCTTATCTAAACTTCTTTAACCTACTGTTTTTAATCAGCTATCCTGACTTATAAACAACAATCAGGGTTCTGGTCAAATTTCTCCATCACATCAGCCTTCAGGGCCGTATCCAGCTTTTTGAATGGGGGGGGGGTGCGTTTTGCGGGCGCAGCGAGCAACCAGTGAGCGCAGCGAGCAACCAGGCTGGGGGCCAGGGGGTCGCCCAGGGCTCCCGGTCGGGGCCCTGGAAAAATTTGTTTTCTTACGTCCTAGTAGACTAATTTGAAGACATTTTATCATGTTAATCTCTATATGTCCGTAAACACAGCGATAGGGCCTATCAAAAAATTAACAGTGGAGGACATGGAGAAACAAGCTAATTGTTTCCCAAATGAAAAATATTACTGTATAAATTCGTAACCATTACGAATAAAAATTCAAAATCAATTCTGCTTTTAAATGAATAATAGCAAAGTTTGATATAAAGAGTGGATTAAAAGCGACTGTAAATGAGCTGATTCAAACAACTAGAAGAATTTGAAACAAATTAATCAACATTTTAATTCTTGGCATTCTTTGATAGTGATGAATGCTGGCTTTCAGGCGATTTTATTGATTCTGTTATCCAGACCAAAGGCTGAAGTTATATGTTGTGATTCTTGGTTAATTTTGTCGATGTCCTTCTCGGTCGCCTTCTTATACTGGGGAACAGTAATTTGTTACTGAAGAGGAAAACCAGTATAAAGAACAAATAAATAAATAAAATAAATGTTGGATACATTTCCCTGTAGGAGTTTTTTTGTAATTTTCTGCTGGGATCTTATAGTGATTTCTGGTTTTGTCAGTGGCTACAAATATATCATCGGAATTATTAATAGTTTGAATAAATGTCTGACAATTTGGTAAGAAAACTGTTATGGTTGTGGCGGAATTGAACATTATCTATTAAACGGATTGCATCTTCTTCGAAATCACATATCTCCTCAATTTGGGGCGGAAAACTGGGTGATTTAAATCTGTATGCTTCCTTGGTGTTGGCGTTGCTACTGAGGTTTAAAAAGAAAAATGCCTTCCATTTCATCCTTTTTTACACTTTCGGTCTTTTCGATGAGTAGTTTAATGTATCCCCTTATATAATATATATATACATATATATATATATATATACATATATACACATATATGTATATATATATGTATATATATATATATATATATATATATATATGTCGATTAAATGAGGTGCTAATTGGAAACTGCCGCAAACTACTCAAAGACATCGACAACCAAATTCACTTTAGGACTAGAAGGCTAAAAAGAAACTTTCCTATATCTGAGTTTCAAAACAAACTCAAGATTATTGCCAAGGATTGCCTTAAGCTTTCCAAGGAACTTTCCCTGAGGAGACAACACAAATTTGGTCGAGACAATATCACTTCAACACAAGTGATCCAACCTTCGCACAATGTTTGGCTTTCACGTAAACCTAGAAGGTTCATTCGGAGCTTTAGTGATAATCCGTGCAACACCACGGATTCAGTTGTTCAAATTAACTGTCAGCTTTCCGAAGGAGAAACCAAACTTCTATCCCGAGGACTCAAATTTTGCCCAAAACCGAGGCAGGCTGACCCACAACAACTATCTTTGGATCTGGAAACTTTCTTCCGACGTTTAAGATGCCGTGAATTTTTCGCCGATTCTGACGGCAACACCACAGATAACATGGGCAATGTTACCAAATTCAAACCTAAAAGTACCTGGAATCCCCCTAAGAATCGTTGCCCAGCTTTAGAAACTTTCATTCAGGCCATTGAGGAGGACGTTAAAAACCACACTCCT